CTTTCTTTCTTTCTTTCTTTCTTTCTTTCTTTCTTTCTTTCTTTCTTATCAGTGCCTGATGATCTGTCTGCAGAGGAGAGAGAGGAACTTTTAAACATCCGTCGCAGAAAAAAAGAACTCATTGATGATATTGAGGTAATCCATTTCCTTTCCTAATCAGCTTTCTTATTCCCTGGCTTGGATTACAGGGTAAATCCTCAAGTTATGACATAATTGGAGCCAGAACTTTCACCGCTAAGCTAGAGGGGTTGTTAAGTGAGTCATTGCTCAGTTATACAACCTTTTTGGCTCCAATTGTTAAGTGAATCACTGCCCAAGTGTTGATCATGTGACAGCACGGATTCTGCGATCGTCGTAAGTGCGAAGACCGGTTGCAAGTCATTTTTTTTCAGTGCCGTTGTAGCTTCATACGATCGCTAAATGGATAGATAGAAGTTGAGGACTCCCTGTATATGGCATTTAAGTTGTTCTGCAGTTTTTCAACTCAATAAGTTGTTTTTTAAAAAATAATTGCTACTAAGGGAAGGTAATTCGGCTGCCACGTTGTGAATAAAATGACAGGGTAGATCAAACTAGCTCGAGATTTATGAAGCATCTAAATTCCTTTTTTTTTTAAAAAAGAAAGAAATGAACAAACTTGCTATCCCACCGGTGCACTTTCTGATAAAGCTCCTTTCATTTCATTATTGACCGCTTTGATTGACTGAATGACTCTGTGTCGGTCACAATAGGGCATCTAACCTAAAATACAACACAATTCCCCCCCCCCCCCAAAAAAAAAATAAACCAAGAAAAACAAAAAACGGTTAGATTTAGAATGAAGGACAAGACACGGAATCCAGCCACTGACCGCAAAATGACACAACCACAACACTTGCAAAGGTAAACACTGACTTGTGTTCTTTCTGCAGCGGTTAAAATTTGAGATCGCCGAAGTTATGACGGAGATCGATCACCTGACCAGCGTAGAGGAAAGGTGAGTTGGTCCAGCTTGCAGGGTTTCACGGAAAATATATATTTTTATTTCTGAGATGATCGGCTGCATTTCCTTGTCTACTTTGTGGGGACGTGATCAGATGGGGCTCAAATTGGCAAGCAAAGGAGGAGGAGGGAGAAAAGGGGTGGATGGGAGAATAGCTTTTGTAGACCAGAAGAAAGTGGGAAGGCAGGATTTTTCTCCTGGTTGGAAAGGAGACTTTGTTGGGTGCCTGCTTCGAACAGCAAGAAGGGAGTTGTGGTCCTTTAGGTCAGAGGTCTCCAACCTGGGCAATTTTAAGACTTGTGGACTTCAACTACCAGAATTCCCCAGCCAACCAACCATACCAAATTATAAATGTGAGCTGCATCTCAAAATTTGGAAACCACCTGTGGGTCCTTGGTGTTCCTTGAGTTTGGTTGTTTTCTTCCGTTTCATGACCCTACTAGGTAACATTTACTAGGAAGGAGTGGGGTTGCTCTCTGTTTATATGCAAGTGGCTCACCCTGTCATTGTTGGTGGGACTGTTTTTGTTGATTCCTTGATTAGGTTGTTGTTTATGGTTTGTTGGTTTGTCTGAGTTGGTAGGACCTTGATTGTCCCACCAACAACTTTTTTCTAGTATGATTTGATTGCTTATTGTACCCTATGGCTATTATTAAGCGTTGTACCTGATGAGTCCAATCACACTTGGCCAATAAAGAATTCTATTCTATTCTATTCTATTCTATTCTATTCTATTCTATTCTATTCTATTCTATTCTACTCTACTCTACTCTACTCTACTCTACTCTACTCTACTCTACTCTACTCGTACTCTAGGACTATCATTAAGTGTTGTACCTTATGGTTCTTGACTCTTGACGAATGAATCTTTTCTTTTTATGTACACTGAGAGCATTTGCACCAAGACAAATTCCTTGTGTGTCCAATCACACTTGGCCAATAAAGAATTCTATCTATTCTATCTATCTACACTGACAAGGCAGCCACTAGTATGTAAACAGAGAGCAAATCCTACTCCCTCCTAAGCACTGATGGTGTTACCTAGTTGGGTAATGAAACATCTGCAAGAAAAAAAAACCAAGCTTAGAGAACCCACAGTCCTCCTCCTCCTCCCTGCAAACATCTCCCTTTTAGCACTGATGTTATTATCTAGTTTGGTAATGAAACGTCTGCAAGAAAACACCAAGGACCCCACGTTTCAATCCTGAGCTACAGATATTCCTTTCCATGGAAAGTATTTGCTAGCAGGAACTTTTCTGCAGTGCATAAATGTAGACTTTCGCATCAAACCTCTTTGTTCATTCAATTGATTGTATGATCTTTTTTTTCTTAGCTGCAAGATACATGCCTTTCTGTATCCGGAGCAGGAATACATTTTAAAGGGTTTTATATCCTAACCCGCTACTTCGATCCTAGCAAACAAAAATGTAAATTTTTTGTTGTCTTTGGGGGAAAATAAAAGAGGCAACCCTTTCCCTCCCCCTTCTTCAAAGCGTGTTGTTTTAGTGCATCTGGACTCAGGCTGAAATGTTTTCAAGATGTGACGGTCGGTCGAGGTTTTCGGCATCAACTTTTTGAAGGTTGAGCTAGATAAAGTCTTGCATCGATGCCACTGGCATGATGCCGGCAATTCTCACGGCGTTTTTGGCACAACCTCCTTGGTTTGTTTATCAAGCCTCTGCAATCGTTTTAGTTGTGGGATTGTGCTAGCAAAGCAGAAGACCTAAACACTTATTAGTATGCAGACACTCGGCTAATTATTCCATCCGTTCCCTTGAATGAATCCAGTTGAACTGGTTTGTGGGTTCAAACCTTATAATTCCTGGCTCCAGAATATTTAAGTCATTTGTGACTCCTTGCCATGAATCAAAAAGCTACTTCTGATTCTTCTCTTGAGTTAATAACAGTTTTAAACCACGAGAAAGGGTATTCAGCTAGGATGTAGTAAATAATGCCTTCGATTTAATTGTGGAAACACATTTTTGCTTTAATGCTTTCCTTTTTTCATCTCTCTTCCCTCCAAACTGACAGTAAAGCTACCCAAAGGAATAAGCAGGTTGCAATGGGAAGGAAAAAATTTAACATGGATCCCAAGAAGGTAAGACTTTTTTTTTTAGTTCTTGAGACTGTATTCTTTGAGCTGAGTTGTTTCACGTGGCCCAAACCATGGTTTGTTTACTCACAGTTTGTTCAGTCAACTATAGTTGGAGGAGTTAGTTCATCACATGCTTTAAGCCGGGGTGAACAACCTTGGCAACTTTAAAACCTTTGGACTTCAACTCCCAGAATTCTCCAGCCAGACATCTCCCAGAATTCCCAGCTGCAATGGCAGACTCCATCTTGTTTAATTAACCCCCCTTCTCTGAACTCCATCATACCAACTTGCTGGAAAAGCCCAATAAATGGAGCTCAGCGTCATTGGAGCGGGCTCTCTAGGGCTGTTCTGCAAATCTGTCTTTCTTATTACATTTAAGTCTTCAGTTCGTTCTCCCATTTTTCCTTATTAGATCTCAGAGAGACAGTTTAGCGAGCGCACGTTCTTTTTGTCTGGTTCGCCTCCCTCCATCTTCAGAGCTAAATACATCTGGAGCCTTGTGTTCTCCCTAAGGGGTTAGCTTGACTTTGTTTCCGATGACGCTAATTTCATTTTCTTCAGACATCTGAATTTCCAGAACACAGGCCCTGTTACAAGAAAGAAACATCTGAAGCATGGAGTTGAAAGAAAAATAGAGAGAGCGAGAGAGCAAGAGAGAGAGAGAGAGAGAGAAAGAGAAAGGCTGAAAGAAAAAGAAGTAAAGAAAAGAGAGGAAAATAGAAAGAGAGAAAGAGAGAGAAAGAGAGAGAAAGAAAAAAGAAAGAGAGAAATAAAGAGAGTGAGAGAGAAATTGAAAGAGAAATGTGAGAGAAATAAGGAGAAAGAAAGAGAGATTGAGAGAGCAAGAAAGAGAAAAAGAAAGAAAAAGGCTGAAAGAGAAAGAAGTAAAGAAAAGAGAGAGGGGAAAATAGAAAGAGAGAAAGAGAGAGAAAGAAAAAAGAAAGAGAGAAATTGAAAGAGAGAGAAAGTGAGAGAAATAAGGAGAAAGAAAGATTGAGAGAGCAAGAAAGAAAAAAAGAAAGAAAAAGAAAGGCTGAAAGAGAAAGAAGTAAAGAAAAGAGAGAGGGGAAAGAGAAAGAGAAAGAGAGAGAAAGAAAAAAGAGAAAGAGAAAAAAGAGAAATAGAGAGAGAGAGAAAAATTTAAAGAAGAGAGAGTGTGAGAGAGAAATAAGGAGAAAGAAAGAGTGAGAGAGAAAAAGAGAGAAAGAGAAAAAGACTGAAAGAGAAAGAGGTAAATAAATAGAAAAGAAATAAATAAATAGAGAATGAAAAAGAGAGAGAGAGAAACACTGAAAGAGAAAGAAGTAAACAAATAGAGAGAGAGAAAGAGAAAGAAAAAAGACCCCTTGAAAAGCTTTTGAATTCCCACAAATTACTTTTCTCATGGTGGTTTTGGTGGAAGGAAGCATCATTCTTTTTGGTAACCAAATACTGCCTCCAAATGGAAATCTGATTCTTGGTTTTGTGTGTGTGTGTGTGTGTGTGTGTGTGTGTGTGTGTGTGTTTTGACTAGATATTTATTTAGGGAAGTTTTTGCAGCCCAGGCAAAAGTCCTTGACTTACGACCACAATGTGGGCCAGAATTTCTGCTGCTAAACAAGGCGATTGTCAAGCAAGTCATCCCCAATTTTTACAACCTTCCCCCCCCCCCCCCTACGATTGTTAAGCAAATAGCGTGGTCATTCAGTGAACCTGGCTCTCTCCCTGCCCCACCCCAGGGACTCATCCCAGGGATGCTGCAATCCGTCATAAATAGATGCTGGTTGCCAAGCTCCCATTCCAAGGGTGGGATTCAAAAAAAATTTATTACTGGTTCTGTGGGCGTGGCATAGCTTGGTGGGTGTGGCTTGGTGAGCATGGCAGGGGAAGGTTACTGCA